GGATGAACTGTGGACGCAAGAGGAAGCTGTCTGAAAGGGATGTTACGGTCTAAAACCAGGTGTTTCAGTTCCATTGTCTAACCCATATACTGTATATTACAGGTCACAGAGAAGGTCTTGCTTATTTCAGCAGACAAAGACAGACAGTACTAAACCATTTTCAATCTTTCCAGAGGAGATGTTTTCATCCGGTCAAGGCTTTTGGTGGTCACCTGGGGGGAGGTATTTGGCCTACGCCCAGTTCAATGACACTGAGGTGCACACTATCGAGTACACCTGGTACGGCGAGGGCCAGTACCCCAGCACTGTCTCCGTTCCCTATCCTAAGGTGTGACATTTAGCCTACTGTGTTTTTAGTGTTAGCTGAAACTCTGTTTTACCTTGTTTGTTTGTTTTTATTTTTGTCTTGTTCCAGGCAGGAACACCCAACCCTGTAGTGAAACTGTTTGTCGTGGACACAGAAAACACAACAAATATTAATGAAGTTGTTGTTCCGGCCCATCTCAGCTCAGTGTAATGCAACAGTTTCTACTAATTCCCTTTCAAAGAAGACAAACTGAGACAAACAGCATTATCATTTGTTTTATTTTTCCACCTGCAGGGACCACTACTTGGCCACTGTGACCTGGGTGACTGATGAGCGTGTGGCTGTTCAGTGGCTAAATAGAACACAGAACTACCTCATCCTTCAGATCTATAACTTTAGTGGCTCTAGTTGGGTTCCTGTTGAGGTAAACAACAAATGAGTCATAAATATTGTGATGCTTTAAAATGGCTATATAATATTATACCATACAGTATAACAGAATACACATGATCTGACACTGACCCTGGTACTTATGTTCTCCAAGCGTTAATAATGAAAGTCATGAGAGATGTTTGGCTCCCCTTCAAATGTCTTTTAAAACAAATAAAATAATGAATTACTGTCCAGGATTAATTGTACCAGATGACATAGGTACTAGGAAACATACATAGGTACAAGGAAACAAATACTAGGAAACATATCTAGGTACAAGGAAACATAGGTACTAGGAAACATTTCTAGGTACAAGGAAACATAGGTACTAGGAAACATATCTAGGTACNGAAACATAGGTACTAGGAAACATTTCTAGGTACAAGGAAACATAGGTACTAGGAAACATATCTAGGTACAAGGAAACATAGGTACTAGGAAACATACGTAGGTARAAGGAAACAAATACTAGGAAACATATCTAGGTACAAGGAAACATAGGTATTAGGAAATATCCGTAGGTACAAGGAAACATGGGTACCAGGAAACATATGTGGGTGCACAGAAACATATAGGTACTAGGAAACATATGTAGGTACAAGGAAACAAATACTAGGAAACATGCGTAGGTACAAGGAAACATAAGTACTAGGGAACATACATAGGTACTAGGAAAAATAGGTTCTAGAATACATACGTAGGCACTAGGAAACAAATACTAGGAAACATGTGTAGGTATAAGGAAACATAAGTACTAGGAAACATACGTAGGGACTAGGAAACAAATACTAGGAAACATGCGTAGGTACAAGGAAACATAAGTACTAGGAAACACACGTAGGTACTAGGAAAAATATGTACTAGAAAACATACGTAGGTACTAGAAAACATACATAGGTACAAGGAAACATAGTACTAGGAAACATACGTAGGTACACAGAAACATAGGTACTAGGAAACATACGTAGGTACTAGACTCAAGTACTGGGAAACATACATAGGTACAAGGAAACAGGTACTAGGAAACATACATAGGTACACAGAAACATAGGTACTAGGAAACAAATGTAGGTATACAGAAACATAGGTACTAGGAAACATACGTTGGTACAAGGAAAAATAGGTAACAAGAAACATACGTAGGTACTAGGAAAAATAGGTAGTAGAAAACATACGTAGGTACAAGGAAACAAATACTAGGAAACATATGTAGGCACAAGGAAAAATAGGTACTAAAAAACATACGTAGGTACAAGGAAACNACAAATACTAGGAAACATATGTAGGCACAAGGAAAAATAGGTACTAAAAAACATACGTAGGTACAAGGAAACAAATACTAGGAAACATATGTAGGTACAAGGAAAAATAGGTACTAGAAAACATACGTGGGTACTAGGAAAAATAGGTAGTAGAAAACATACGTGGGTACTAGGAAACAAATACTAGGAAACATATGTAGATACAAGGAAAAATAGGTACTACAAAACTAGGGCTGTCAGTCGATTAAAAAATTTAATCAAATTAATCACACACTAGGGCTGTAATTAATCATGATTAATCACCATATTTATTTATTTAGACTCCAAATAAATCAAGTAACAAATATAATATGCAGCCATAAGAAACAAAAATATATTTTCTGCACTTCAAGTAAACATAAATGGTACGTGAGGGTTTTACCTACACATTTAACCTAATCTTCCTTCAACCAGTCACTTAGGCAGATAAGCTTGTTAACATTTTCAGATGACAGAGCTGATCTCTTTTTTTGTACAATGTGGCCTCCTAGAGAAAAAAGTCTCTCACAAGGCACTGTTGAAACGGGTGTAGCTAAGTACTTTTGTGCAAAATGGGCCAGTTTACTATAGACCCCTGAGTGTGCCGACCACCACTGTAGTGGGKATGTGTCTGTGCTCACACAGGGCTCTGCCTTGTACCGCTCTAGAGTAGTGTCTGTGGATAATCCTTCATCATCATCAGACTCTAACTATCTTTTTCTTGGGTGGCTCTGTCTCCATTTCATCTATGGGGGCCTGGGCTGTAAGTTCTGTGGCCAACATATCACTCAGTTTTTTCCACACCTCTTCCCTTTCTGCCCGMGTCATGCATCTGAGGTCCTTAAATCGTGGATCCAAAGCAGTTGATACCTTTAACCAGTCCAGATTTAAGCTACCTTTGCGTTTGTTGAGATCCTTTGTAAAAGCAGCCTTGAAGCAGACTATGTATGCTGGGTCAACATCTGAAACATCCATTGTATGCTGAAGATGGCAGAGTGCAGGTAGCACAGCAGAGCAAGACACATACATCAAATCCACTGTCTTGAAAAGCTACAGTGATAACTCGCTGTATAGCGTGAGCTACACAGGGCACATGTTCAGATGGTAAACTTCTTGCGGCAGCAACCATGTTGTGAGCGCTGTCAGTTCCTAAAGTAGTGACCTTCTCCGTAACATCCCACTCTTTAGCAACTTGGAGAAACTGACGAGCACATGCATCGGCAAAATGTCTTTCTTCTGTTTTCAACACGCCCAAAGTAAAGGAGTGTAGCTGCCATTTATCATCAATTAGGTGTGCAGTAACCCCGAGGTAATTGTGATTACCCCCAGAGGTCCAGTGGTCTCCAGTTAGAGCAACAAAGGCAGCATCTGCCAGCTGCTGTGCTTTAGCTGTCTTCTTGATGTCGTAGAGTTCATGTATTCTTTTTACAACAGTTCCCCTGGAAGGTAACTTGTATGACAGATCACTTGTTGCGACGTGAATGATATTAAGAAGCCCCCGATCTTCAACAATGTTAATTGGCCTACATTCAATGGCTATCCATTTGGCAATAGCATCATTTAAGTTCACTGTTGTGGCTTTGTTAATATTTCCACAGCTGAACTCAGCCAGTGTCGTCTGACGAGCTGTTGTTGATCCCCCCCGAATTAGCATTCTTGCTAGCGTCAACAAAAACGTGCTTTGCTCGAAGATGGTACTTTAAACTGGTTGTGCTTCGGTGAAAAGAACGTTCAGCCTTGCAGTGTGTACACATCACCTTGATTTTATCCACAGTTCCATCGGGGGTGTTTTTTGAAATTAAATTTGCCATCTAAAAGTCCAGTTTCCTCGCTCATCTTTGCACTCGCAATTGCTTCCTCGCTTCCGCACTGTTGACCAGTGACCACAGAAGAAGACTAAAGCGCTGCTGTGAAATAGGTCCTCTCTCCACCCTCTGCTGGAGAGAGGGCATTAGGTCAAAATAAATCGTGATTAATTTGCACTACGTGAAATTAATGCGTTAAACTCTGTAGATTAATCTCGTGCGTTAACGCGTTAATGTTGACAGCCCTATAGAAAACATACGTAGGTACAAGGAAACAAATACTAGGAAACAAACGTAGTTCCTTTTCAGTCATTTCACTCAGTACAACACACAGTTGTATATGGGACTCGCGCGCCCTCTTGCGCCTGGCTGAAGCCACCTCTAATCACGTCTTCAGACCGGTGACATGGTGACGTTGAACATCGGGTGACAGGCTCCGCCTTCACCCTATAAGTTCGGAGTCACCAGCGTCATTACTCAGTTCTATCGCCCTTCACCTCGCGATAGTCACCTCTAAACCTGAGTTCACATAGCTGCTGCTAGTTAGCTCAACTTCTAAGGTTTTTAGGCTAGCTTTACTGGTGCTAAC